CCCCAAAACCCCAAAACCCCAAAACCCCATAGTTCTAAATTCTTTGTATTGTGTAGATATGCTGGTTGGATAAAATAAATTATTAATAAATGAGTGTGAATTACCAAACCAAGATGAAGAGACTCATCGAAATACAGAGGGAATTGCAAGTACTCTAAGTTTAAAGTTATAAGTTTTATAGGACTTTGAATACTGCTAGTAAGAATTTGAAAAGGGATTCGGCAACATAATTGACTCAAAGCGAGTTTAACAGAGGACAGAAACCAAAACTTAGCAGCCATCCCCAATGTCTTCAACAGCAAAGGTATTATAATTAATTTACAACAACTCTAATATTCCATCCATCAAATCCTAATTTTTAAAACTGTAGATTGAAAGTCATTTTTTCCTGACAAAGCCGCATTTAATCGAGCAAAACAAAGTGATGAGTAGGTTATCACAGAAACCATCAGCAAGAGGATAGATTTAGCCAAGGGCAAGAACTGGATTAGATAGAGTGAGCCATAACTTCTCAGAATTAGGCAAAGCACCTCATGAGAGCTCAGTGATGAATATGACTCAATCCCAATTGAATCAAATCGTTAGCGCTAATCATTTGAAGCTAACCAATGCTAACAACACTCAGAGCAAATTAAAATCTTAAAAGTTGAGCATCAATGAGATGGCTAAAATGATGAAGGATATAAGTTAGGCATCTTATGGCTCAAGCAAGGGTGGAAATGGAATGATCACCTTCGACCTTCAAACTAAACGGCCTGAGTTTGTCCACTATGCCCCAGCTGTTAAACCTCATGATAACAGATTCCTTAATATAAATCTTGATACTCTAGCTCTCTCCAAAAATTAAAGACCTAAGTCCTTAGATTTCTCGAAATAACTTGATAGAAAAAGTGATTACCTGGTTAGTAAATCTTAACTTGATGATAATGGTACAAAAGTAACGCAAGATGATGAAAGAGAGTTAAATAATCCCTACCAGTATGCTAAGTTCAGGAAGTATCATCCAGCAAATGACATTACGAAAGTATTACAGAAACGTATGACTCATCTTATCTTAACCCATAATATAGCCTTGAGAAATTACTCTATTTAAATGGATAAGGGACTGCCAAGACAGTTCTTAGTAGATGAGAAAAAAGTGAGGTAGCAGGGAGGAAGACAATTTACCTCTGAAGAAATTATTAGCGCCTACAACAATCAAGGTCATGTTACTAAGTAAAATCATTCTTTTTAATGTTTAAAAGCAAGGGGAAAGGTAGAATATTTAACAAATACTCATCTAGAGGAGATCCTGAATGCACTTTACCTTACTTTATGCAGAACTATTCAAACAGACAGAGTCTATAATTGGTGCTTGGGAAATCCCTTAAAGAGTCTAACTTTAGTAATGGATAGTTTATCCCTTAAGCTTCATCATTTAAGTTGACTACTAATGCACAGATCTCACAAAATAATAAAAAATATAGGCTTACTAGACATCCAACAGCTATAGCAGATGAATCTGCTAATAAGCGTATTCAAAACTTTGTAGAGGACTTTTCCTCAAGCAATATCAACGGATCAGGGTAAAAGAAATAGAGAAGCAAAGCCACTACTTTCTATAAGCTGCTTTAGGAAGGTGGTTATATTAAAGAAACAGTTAAAATGAACAAGGACAGAAAGAGAGCTTGGCACATCAGTAAGATCAAATCAAACTTAGACTCTGATTTCTCATCTGATAGTGATTGATTGATAGAAATAAAATGAATTACCACAATAAGACAACATACAAAATCAACTCTTTAAAAATGAATAAATGAATTTATAATAAATTATTTTTTTGTTAATTTCTTGATTCTATTTTTATGGGGTTTTGGGGTTTTGGGGTTTTGGGGTTTTGGGG